AAGGGTAACTGTGATCTTAGTTGGCCATTGGATTGGGTCCAAGCAGCCTACTAGGGACTCATTCTTAAATATGAGACCCTGCCAAGGTCACCCAACACTTGAGGAAAGCCTTTAACAGTATAGCAAGCTGAAAGTGGGGATCTAAAAGAGAACTGTTTGGTTGTCGGAAAAGTCATGACGTATTTCGTCTATGTTTTTCAAAGGTCATTTATTTATATAAAGAACAAAGATCAATCAATGATATATTGCCCGTTTTGTTCGATAACTTTTTGCCATCTTTCAGTGAGCTTCACAATTCCTCATTCATAGAAGGACCTGTCTTTGTGAAAAATTGAACAAGGTGATTTACAGCCTCATCTGAATTGAACGTTATACCACGCAAGGAGTTTTGAAGACAGCGAAACAAGTGGAAGTCTGATGGTGCAAGGTCAGGTGAGTATGGTGGGTGTGGCAACTCATCCCATCCAAGCTCCAATAATATTTTACGGGTGATCAAACTTGTGTGTCATCCCGCACTGTCACGATGGAACACAACTCCTTTACAATTAACAAGCCCTGGATGTTTCTGGATGATGGATTTATTCCAACTGTCCAACTGCCGACAGTACACATTCGAACTGATTGTTTGGTTTCTTGGTAGGAGCTCGAAAAACATGACACCTTTAAAATCCCACCACACTGAGAGCATAACCTTCCTCTGATGAATGTCTGCTTTCAATGTCGTTTGAGGCGAATCATCACGTCGAGACCAAGACCGTTTGCACACACGTTGTTGTAAACAATCCACTTCTCATCACCAGTTATCAGTGACTTCAAAAAAGGATCCTTTTCCTGTTTCAAGAGCATATTGCAGATGTTTGTACGTGCTGTAAAATGAACTTGAGTTCATGCGGAACCCAAATATCGAGCTTGCTTACGTATCCCAGCTTCTTCGGGTGGTCATGAACGCTTCAATGATGGATGTTCAATGTTTCTGCAATTTCTCGTCTCGTGTAAGGTGGGTTTGACTCAATCAAGCCCTTATTTTGTCATCAACCTCGGTGGGCCTCCCTGATCAAGGAGCGTCGTTGAGATCAAAATCACCAGCATGGAATTTCATGAACCATCGTTGGCACTGTTGTTCTTTTTTTTTTTTTTTAAGATTTTATGGGGGAATTGGGGGAGGTGAACAGCATTGGGGAATCAGGGAAGGGGAACAGACAAGTTGCTGTCCTTTTGTTTTTCAGTCTAGTTGTGGAGGACATTGCTTCACTGGCCCATGTTGGTTTTATTATTGCACTCTTCCCGGGTGAGGCAGTCGCTCGCCGGCCATTGGACGGCTGCTCACGGTGACTCACAGCAGCTCACGAAAGCTCATGTCCACTGCCAGCCAGCCCCACTGCAACCTAAGCCGTTGCTGGCGACTCACAGCAGCCCAGCTCCAGGTCAAGCTGTTGTTCACCATCTTAGCTGTAGAGGGCACAGTGTCACTGGCCATCATGTGGGATCCGAACCGGGGCCCTGCTGCTCAGAGCTGGCATCTGAAGCCAACTCTTAACCAACGAGCCACTTTGGTTGGTCCGGCACTGACGTTCTTGTAGAGCATTGTCACCATAAACTTTATGCAACTTTTCACAAGCTTGACTCTCGTTCTTCCCTTTATGGAAGTAATACAGTAAAATATGGCAAAAATGCACGGTTTGGTTTTTCATCTTCAACTTGTAAAATCAAAACTCAAACCAAGTCGCTCAATTTATTTTTAGAATGTTAGCTGTCAAATGACATAGCAATAACATAGATGCGAATGACGCTAGTACTTACAAAAATTACTAGTGCCATCTGTCACAAACGTGTCATGACTTTTCCGAAAACCCAAAAGATAAATGTGAAGAACACATGAAAATACAAAAAATTAAAGTTTCCTTAGAGTGCCAGCCGAGTGGCTTAGCTAGTTAAGAGCTTGCTTGGGAGTGCCAGCTCTGACCAGCAGGGCTGCGGTTCGGATCCCACACTGAGGGCCAGTGACACTCGCCCTCTACAGCTAAGATGATGAACAACAGCTCGACCTGAAGCTGGGCTGCTGTAAATCGCCAGCGACAGAGTAGGCTGCAGCAGGGCTGCAGTGGACTGCCGTGAGCTACATGAGTGGCTGGCAGCCAGCATGAGTGGCCAGCAGCCGGTGTGAGCTGCTGGGAGCCACTGTGAGCGGCTGACCAATGATCGGCGACCGATTGCCTCACCCGGGAAGAGTACATTGATCATACCAACATGGGCCAGTGAAGCAACGTCCTCCACAACTAGACTGAAGAACAAAAAAACCCCAGCAATTTGTCTGTTTGTTTCCCTTCCCCGATTCCCCAATGCTGTTCTCTCCCCACAATTCCCCAAAATCTCTAAAAAAAAAAAAAATTTTCTTAGAGAGGTTACGTCCATGAAAAGAGAAAAAATGCAATAATCAATGAACTAACAGAACAAAGTAAATTAAAAATAATTGCTGATTTTTTTTTTTTAAAGATTTTTATTGGGGAATTGGGGGGATGGGAACAGTGCTGGGGAATTGGGGAAAGGGGAACAGACAAGTTGCTGTCGTTTTGTTCTTCAGTCTAGTTGTGGAGGACGTTGCTTCACTGGCCCAAGTTGGCACCATCATTGCGCTCTTCTCTGGCGAGGCAGATCAGTCGCCGGCTTCTGGACGGCCGCTCACTGCGGCTGCTGGCCGCTCACGCTGGCTGCTGGCCGCTCACGCTGGCTGCTGGCTACACACGGTAGCCCATGGCAATCCACTGCCACAGGGACTGCAGCCCACGCCGTCGCCGGCGACTCATGGCAGCCCAGCTCCAGGTTGAGCTGTTGTTCAGCATCTTAGCTGTGGAGGGCAGTGTCACTGGCCCTCATATGTGGGATCCGAACCGGGGCCCTCTGGCATCCCAAGCGAGTTCTTAACCATCGCGCCACTCGGCCGGCCCTGCTGATTTTTTTTTTTTAATCACTAAGAGTTTACTGAGGGAATAAGTCTCCAGAGTGAAACCAACCCATCAAGTGCACAGCCCAATGAATGGACAAACTAAGATAGACGACACTAAAAGTTTCCAAGGAGAAAACAGGGTGACATACAAAGGGAACTGGATTTTTCATCATGTTGGAAGGTAGATGCCAACAGAGTTAACACCTTCAAATTTCAGCAGAAAAATGATATTCAACCTTCAATTCTATACCCAGCTAAACTACCAATTCTGTGTGGTTTAAAATTTTTCAACAAAGTCTCAAAAAACCTACTTCCCTTGTGTTCTTTCTCAGGATGGTACAGGAGAAAACACGCGACCAAAACAAGCATGTAACTAAAGAACGCATGGGGTCCAGAAAGCAGGGCTTCCAATGCAGGACAAAAAGGCAAGAGAACCTCAGCCCAATCTGTACAGGACAACAGCAGGCTCCAGAATGTCCCCTGGGGAAAAAAACTGCAGAAAAGATAGTGTCCAATCCTGTGGAAAACTGTACTGGGAGGCATTTCAGAGTTAAAGGGTGAAGGAAGATGGGGACTCAAGTCAAACTGAGCTATAGAAAAAAATTATTAACCTCAAGAAAAAATAAGAAATTGTACAAAAATAACCTAGTACACCACTTGCCTCAGCAGTAAACAGTTACATAGTGATAACAAATATGGATTGGCAAACTGCACGCTGCACCAGTTTTTATATAAAGTTAAATGGAACACAGCTTTGCCCATCTGCTTACACTGTTGACAGCTGCTTTTGCACTGTGACAGCAGAACTGAGTAGTCACCAGAGACTTCATGGCCCACAAAGCCTAAAATATTTCCTATTGGCTACCTTACAGAAAAGTAGAAATCAACCTCTAGATTAAACTAAACTATTTGAGGACCATAAGGCAGAGGGAATAAATGAACAAAAACTAAAATCCTGTAAGTCCAGACTCTAAAAAGAATAACTTAAGCTTTTTTGTGTGTGTGCGCCAGCTCTCGCCCACATATTCTCCCAACCTCCCCCTTCCTTGCACCTTGTCTAGGCCCGTTCTCTTCCCTGAGACTGTGTCACTAATAAACTCTGCTTGCATATTAAAAAATAAAAGAAAAAGAATGAATTAAGACAGGAGTGTAAGACTAGTATTTAGAAATGTGGAGATAAATGCAGAAGAAAATGCTACAAGGATTAAAAGTGGTTGCCTGCATAATGTAGGATTGGGTTGGGGGGGACAAATGCTATTTTTTGTCTTAAGCCTTTTTATGAACCATTTATTTAAACTATGTTTAGGTATTGCTTTGGTAAAACAAAAAGACTAAGAAGAATTTTAAAAGGATTGAATGGCACTTACCACAATGTAGAGCGCCAACGCCGTGTTCTAGGTCTGGGGTGCCAGGCTCCTCTGCTGCTGCCCTGGAGCCACTTGGGACACCTGCAGTCTAGTGTCAGGGGTCTAAGCTAGTTCTGCTCTCCTGGCCCCATTCCTGATCCTCCTCTAGCATCTTCACTCATCCTGGGACTCCCACTCTGATGGCTGGGAGGGACAGTCCCCCAGGGAATCAAATCTATTGTCCCTGCCCCTGGAGACAAATTATCCTTTCCCTCAACCCCAAGGCCAAGCAGAAAGCAACAGGAAGGACAAATGGGCATGAGAGCCCCCACCCAGCCCCAGACCAACTCTGCTACTCAAACAGGTGGTCCCGGGGCATGGGCCAGATGTCTCCTCACCAAGGCCACCAGGTCCACACCCCTATCTACATATCCACTGCTTTCTAAACTGCTTCAGCCAACTGAGGCCAACACTGCCCAAGAGGATGCCAGCCCCAGAGTGCTGGTTCCCTGGACCAGTGCCCAACCCCGGGATGGGCACACACTACCAAGTGAGGTCCAGCCCATCAGAAACCCGCCCTTAAGATGGTGGCGGGCAGATGCCCATCCAGCTCAGACCATCCTGGGTCTTAGAAGCACTGGACAGAGAGAGCAAAGCAGTTTGTCATTTAGTGAGAAAGAACAGCCACAGAATACAGGAACCATGAAAAATAGTTTTCAATCAAGCTTTTAATGAAAAGATCATAAAATAACAGTTTCTCATCACTGTACATTAAGACTGCACGCTTCTGAATGGAGAGATCAGTCGTCGGTGAATTGCTTTTCTATGACACTTGAGGGCTGCACACTTGCAGCTCTGACCTGAATTTATCTAAACTCTCGAGGGACGTGAACTCAATGCAATGACTGACAGCGGCGGTGGCCAGTACAGGAGTGCGATCACGGTGTCCCTCCCCCTATTTGGGAAGGGCATAAAGTAGGACATGATCCCTCTTCCAATTCTGATTAAACAGCTATAACCCCATCCCTCCCTCTCCCCCTCGAGGTATTTATGAATGGGCCAGTGCCCAACATGGGGTCCCCCAAGGGGGGGGGGAAGCAAGTGATAGGTGGGGTACAGAGAGGCTCCCCTCAGCACCTGGCCCCACAGGGCCCCGCCAAGTGGAGGGGCGGGGAGCCCTGGGGATCCTCCCTGCCCCAAATGAGGTCTGTTATGCAGCATTTTTGAGGTCAATAAATTACAGCAATAAATAGCAAGGTGAGGTAGGGGGAGGGGTTCCCGGTAGAAAATTAAAGTGGGGTGACTGAAGCTGGGGGGTCCTGGGCAGCCTCAATTCCCACAGCACATACCCACCCCCAAATTTGGAATGTCAGACTGAGGCTCTGGTTAGGTCCCTCTCCATCCCCTCACTCCTTGGCATCGGATTCACAGGTTCAATAACATCTGCCCCAACATGACTCTGGGGAAGAGCTAGGGCCTTGGTCCCTTCAGGGGGCATGGCAAGGAGATTCCCTTGTTTGTTCTCCTAAGGCCTGGCACCTCTGCTTTCGTTCCACAAACAGGACGGATACAGGCACCTCTTCCCTGAACCCTGCCCTCCTGGCTGCCGAGGCCTCACCCCAACTCAGGACGGCCATGGGGGAGGGCGGCCTGGGGTCTGCCCACCCAGCCAACCAGCCCAGATCACACTCCTGCACTCGGCCAAGTCCAGTGAATACTGACGGGGTGGGGGCAGGGGACAGCCCAGTGCCCCCCAGTGGTGATGAACAGGAAACACACACAACTGCATGAGGTTCTGAAAGTCTAGGTCCAGATTGTTCATTTCACAGGCTGAGGTGTATGGCTATGCCGCAAGTCTCTGAGATTCTTATTTGCTTAAAGGTTCATCTTTCCTTTTTTGCCTTTTTTGCAATCCTGGATGAGCCCGTGTGGCGGCTCAGTCTGGTGGGAGCATGCCATGGCAGAGCCCGGCCTGCCACTCGCTTGCCCCCAGTCTGAGAAATAAATACATTCATCACTGCACAAACATATTGATACAAAAACAACACTGTTCAGAGTGTTTGCACCATCTGTATTGGTAAGGACCAGCCCAGTGAGCCCCTCCTGCTGCTGGCAGGTGTGTGTGAGGGGTGTCCCCCAGGGGTGGGGACCAGCTGGAGTCGAAGCGGTGCAAAGGTCCTGGCTTTTTGGCTTGAGAAGGACCCTCACATCAACCCACCCCAGGGTCGCGGGCAGAGCAGCAGTGGGGCTGGGATTAGAGGAGTGGTGGTGGGGGAGGGGGGCTTGCCTCTATCGCAGGGCCCAAGCCTAGACTTGGGTCCAGTGACCAGAGCCAATGGCCACCTCCTGCTGTGCCAGCTGGCCAGGATGGCCAGGAGGCCTGAGGGCCAGTCAGCACTGGCCCAAGCTCTTTGGTGCCAGCTGGGCTTGGAGAGGCCTGGGTCTGGGGAGGAGGGCTCAGGTGAATCCAGGGGGCCTCCACACCTGCCCCTCTGCCCGCGAGCTGTTCCAGGGCCAACTTGGAATGGCCTTCAGAGGAAGGTTGGGACTCACTGGGACTGGCCTTACAGCTGCTGAGGTCTGAAACTGTAAAAGTTTATGTAAACAATGAGATAAATATATTAGTTTTTTTTTTTCTGAGCCCGTTGAGGTTCCATACTCATTCAAAATGTGCTTTGGTTTAAAAAATAGGTTTTGTGAATTTGGGTATGAGCTTTTTTTTTTTTTTCTTTCTTTTTTTTTTCTTTTTTTTTTTTTTGTTGTTTATCCTCTCTTTCCTACATGACATCTGCTATTTTGTTTCCTGTTTCTCCGAAACATTCAGGAATTAAGTGACTAAAGCAGAGAACTGTAAGCCGCCCTTGGCCTCCAACGGCCTAATTTCCTTGTGAGGCTCTTAACACATCTCCACGCACACTCTCGAAAGCACACACTCCACATGAAATCAAAGGAAAAAGAAAACAAAACCAAGTGTTGTGTCAATCCCGTCCCGCCCCACAAACCCTTAAAATCTTAAATAGGAAACTAGTGTTTTGCTTTCTTGTTAAAATACAGAAAAGGCTCGATACAATACTCAGGTGGGTACAATACTATGTCGCACAAACGTCGTTGAGTGAGGGGCCTTTGCGCCCAGTCCCTGAAGCTCTGCAAATGAATCACCTACTTTCACAAGTCACCTCACGTTTGTGGCTGCCCATGGCCTGGGAGGCCACACATAGGCCGGGCGTGTGTACACCTCCCATGCAGTACAGACTTTGTGTCGTGTGGCTTAAGTGCTGATGGAGTGGGGTGGGGTTGGGAGAGCAGAGGGGCCTGGGACAGGCCCTGCCCTCAATGACCTGCTGGAACAAGAAACCCTGGGTCCAGTCCTCCATTTCCCACCCAAAGGGAAGAGGAGCCGGCTCAGGGCTGGGGGGCACCGCACAGAGGGCTCAGCCAGGAGCCCTCACTCCCAAAACACGCCATTCACCACTCGGGTCCCTGAACTCAGGCTCTGTTTTTAGCTGGAGGGTCTCTGGAGGGGTGGGGCTAGGGGATGACTCTGGAATTTTTTGGTCTGAACTTGAAGTAGAAAGAAAAAAAGAAGTAAAAGCATGAAGCAAAATGAAGAAGATAAAGCCGCTGACACAGCCCTGTGGCTCCAGTGGACTGAGGACAGTGGAGCCAACTGTGGCAACCTTGGTCTGGCCTTTCAAGCTGGGTTCTGGGCCCATGGAGGTGTCTGAGACTGGTAGGGAAAGCTCAAGGTGAGGAGCGAGGGATGGAACCCCAGACAGGGGTGAGCCACTGGGAGGCAGCCAACCTGGCAACAGAGTGGCCGTGGGCCAGGACTGCTTAGAGTGATGCCCAAGCAGAGCAAGTCTCCTCCCTGTCCCCTAGGGCATATCACTTTGGTCAGCCCCTCCCTCACCACGCCTCTGCACTGGCTAGGTGGGGCTGCAGCTTTCCCAAGCTCCAACGCTTGCAGGCCCAGGGAACAGGCTGGTGGGGGGCTCACTTCTGTCTCATCCTGGCCCTGGCAGGGAGCTGCAAGGAGCTTGCTCCCATTTCCAGGTTGCTCAGCAGGAGTTGCCAGCCCCTGGCCCCACACTGGGAGCTCCCATGGGGCTGAAGTACTCACACCCTTACCTGGGCCCAGAATGGAGTTATGCGGACTACCTGGCACTCAGCAGCATACTCACAGAATACCCTCTCAGGGTGGCCACAGCTAGCCCTGTGCTCAGGAGAAAACCCACAGGCGAGCCTGGAGACTCCAAAGCTGCAGGGCCCCACTGAAAACGTGTGTGGTGGGACGCCCAGGGCTGGGTCTCAGCCAAGCCCCAGAGGGCCGCCCAGCCAGCCCAAGTCTGGCTCACTCGAACACACATCTTCCTGTGCGCACTAATGGGAGGAAAACAAAAGTGTCACGGCCTCAACTGCCAGTCACCAACTTACTGTTCTCGTGAATTCAAGAGGTAGCAAAAGGTCAGAAGTGTCTCCACCTTGACAGGTAAGGAAGAAGGAAAGCGCAACATCTGTCCACACGCACCGCGCACACCACACACACAAAGAAAAGAAAAACAAGAGTACCGACGGCCCTGGCGCCCCGTCCAGCCTCCCCCCTCCCCCCACGAACCCCAGACCTTCCAGTTCAAACATTCACATAAACGTTACACTGGTTTTTCTCTTAATAAAAAACAAGTACCTCTAAACAAAGAAGATTCCTCGGAAACTATAGGAAAAGCACTCTCTCTCCTGAGGCAGCCGAGGTGGGGCTCGGGGCCCAGGGAAGCCTTTGGCCAAGAAGGGCTTCTGGGGCCTGGAGGGGTGGGCTCCCCACGGCCTGCAGCCGGGGCGGGGGTGGGGTGGGAGGGGCAGCTGCCCCATACATTCAGTCTGCAGACCCAGACTCAGCCCCAAGGGGCCGGGACGAAAACTCTTGTTGGTTTTGGTTTAAAAAACAAAATTCATAAAGAAAAAAGGAACAGATCAGTAGGAATAACAGCAACACAGGCCCAGAGGGCTCTTTAGTTGTGGAGAGGTAGGTGGTGGGGGCCTCCCTGGCTCGAGGAGGGAGGACTCCATCCCCTCCCATCCAGCACTGCTCCCCATAGTGCCAAGGTGGCCCGCACACAGACTAGCACTCGTGTGCCCAGGACACTGCCCCTGTCCACAGGCAGCCCTGATCCTCCCAGCATGGGTGGAGGTCTCTACTCCCCCCTGCTCCAACCTGTGGGAAAAAGGCCGGGTCCCTGTGAACCCTGTGACCCACTCCCACAGGCCCTGCAGAGGCCCTGGCAGGGAGCCGGGGGCCTGGACGGGATCTGGAGGTAGACTGCACACCCACAAGACACCTGCGGGGCTTAGGACCCGGCCTCCTTCCGCTCTCTTCCCTTGGTACAGACTGTGGATTAAAGCTCTGGGTGCGGGGGCTGGCCGGAGGTGCCGCCACCCCCGCTGGACCTGGGGTCCGGGTCGGCCTGCTCGGCCTCCTTGCTTCTTCCTTTCATTGTTCCCGGGGGCAGCGGGTCTGCAGAGGGCGCCCGAAGGCCAGAGAAGGTCTTTGGCTTCTAGGAGGGGGAGGTGTGCATGCGCAGGTGGCTGAGGAGGTTGCGCTGCTGGGTGAACTTGCCACCGCAGAGCTGGCACTCGTAGGGCTTCTCACCTGAGTGCACACGCATGTGCTCGGTCAGGCGGTACTGGCGGGTGAAGCGCATGCCACACTCATCGCAGGCGAAGGGCTTCAGGCCCAGGTGGCTGCGCATGTGGCGTGTCATGGTGCCGCGCTGCGTGAACATCTTGCCACAGATGTTGCAGGGGAAGGGCCTCGTCAGCCAGTGCGTCTTCTCATGCTGCCGCAGGGTGGCCGGGTCCTTGTAGGTCTTCTCGCACACTGAGCACTTGAAGGGCCGGGGCTCAGCTGCGTAGGCTGCGCTGGGTGTGGACAGGTCCTCAGCTTCCTCCTCAGCACCCCCACTGCCTGTCTCGTAGGCACCCTCCTCCTTAATGAAAAGCTCCTCCTCCGTGTGTGTCTCCACATGGGCATTGAGCTGCTCGGAGCTGGGGAAGCCTTTGGCGCAGGGGATGCACACGTACAAGTTGTCCCCGTAGGACACCGTCTCATAGCCCTCCTGCCGGTACATGTAGTGGGAGCTGGCATGGCCACTACCCCCCTCGCTCCCGCTCTGCCCACTGTCCTCGCTCCCATCCTTGCCATTTTCCTCCTCCTCCTTACAGGGGTATGAGGGCTCCCCGTAGGGCCCACTGGGGCCGCCCCCTGCCACACTGTTGGCCAGGATGCCATTGGGAACCCTGTCCCCAAGCCCCTCGTTATCTTCCCCTGGGCAAGGGCCCTTGGGCCCCGATTCTCTCCGCTCAAAGGGGGAACCTGCCATAGGCTCCTTCTTGCTCCACTCCTTCTTGCGGGCCGAATGCCGGAGGCTCTTTCGGAGCTGCCCGCCAGGCCCCTCCAGCAGGCTCAGGTGGTTGTCCTCAGCCCCATCCAGATCCATAGGCTCACTGGGGGTGCCCCCCAGCTCGGCGTAAGAGGCACTGTTGGCAATTGGAGGGGCAGAGGCTGAGAGGGGCGAGCCGTGCTGACTGTCGCTCATCTGGGCTGGGTCATCGGGGGTGAGGGGGGGACCGGGGGTGGCGGGCGGCAGGGGAGGGCTCTTCTTAGACAGGTCCAGGCCCAGCTCCTGCTCACAGCCCCCACTGCTCCCATTGGTACTGCAGCTGCCCAGGCCAGCCTCCCCACTGGCTGGACACACGGCACGGCCCAGGCTGTGCACACTTTCCTGGTTCGAGCTGCCAAGGAAGAGCTCATCATCCGAGCCTTTGGCCTGGGGGAGCTCCTGTGGGGTGTGGGACCCCTTACGCCCATCCATGAGCCCCGGATACCGAGCCTGGATGACGGAGGCTGTAGACAGCCGCTGGCTGCGAGAGGGCCGCCCCATTCCGGCAGCTCCCACCCGTCCAGAGCCAAAGGGCTTGCCGGCTCGCTTGAGCTTGCGGCGGCAGAGGGCTGCCAACTCAGGCAGCTGGAGGTAGCTGGCAGCAGTGAGGAGAGTGCTGAAGTTGGGCTCGGCTGGCTGGTCACTGGGCAGCAGTTTGCCCGTGTAGATGAAGTCCAGGATCTGCTGGAACACCGTGGAGCTGACCATGTCCGTGTCCAGGTTGATGAGGTTGTCGTGTAGGACCAGGGACTTGAAGTAGATGCTGCTGGCGGCCAGGACGTTCTTGTGGGCCCGGAAGATGGAGTTCTCCACCATGATGATGACATCACACAGGAAGCCCTTTGTCCTCTGCTGGTTTAGCTGCAGCAGGAGCTGTTTTGAGTGGCTGGGCAGCTCCATGTCGGGCCCCATGTCCCCACGCCCTGCCCACGTGTACCACCTGGGGGCAAGAACAGGCGTACACACATTAGCTGACTGGGACTCTTGTGCAAGGGCCCAAGGCCAAGGTGGGCCACAGTGACACTCAGAGGGGCCTTCATGCTGACCTGTCCACTGGCCGCCTCCTTGGGCACAGTACACAGGGAGGGGACTCACACTGCCCATCAAGGATTCACAATGCCCAAGAAAGGACAATGGCGCTAGCACCATTTGCACCAATGAGAAAACAGAAGCAGGACAATGAAAGTCACTCAGTGCCAAGTAGAGAAACTGGGATTGAACTTGGCTCCACAGCCCAGGGTACCATCTCCACGCTAAAGGAAGTCCACAGGGGACACAAAAATGACCAGTAGAGGACTATGATGTGCTGGGAGCAGGAGCCCTGGGTGGACTAACTTCTGTGAGCATGCAGCTTCCCAGCTTTGAAGACCACCTAGAAACCAGGTTTTTAGGTGAAATCTCCCAATGCTAAATCAAGGTCCATTTCCTAAATACCACATAGGCCAAATTAAATATGGAGCTCTGGTCTGTGACCTACGTTCTACACCGGTGCCTCTCAAACAACCCTAGAGGCTTCCCAAGCTTTCAGATGTGCTTATGTCACATTACTACCTCCCAGACACTGCAGCCCCCGCCCCACAAGGGCCTCGACCCCAGGAAAGCATGGAACACTTCCTAGTCTGGGCCTCTGAGTGCTAAGCAGAAAAGGTGGCTGGGCCAAGTCCCTGGCACTGTCTGGGCCCTGGGTCCTTTCTGGGAAGGGCAGCACAGTCTGAGCTTGGGAAAGATGGCTGGCTGGCCTCGCCAGACTGGCGCAGACACTAACTGATGTCATTAAATAATAAACACGCAGAGGTCGTGGCCTCTTCAAGAACTCTGGGCTGGCTGTGTGGCAGTGTGTTCACCATGCACTCACCCTTCCACAGGCAACTGTGTACCACAGAGAAGGTACCTTGAAGAAGGTACCTTCACCTCCTGCTCAGGGCGCAATTTCTGAAAGTAACTGAGTGTCCTGAGCCTCACCCCACCTGGGACTTCTGGCTCCTACCAGGGTACCCAGCCCTGCCTCCCTTGAGGCAGAGACTGGAGGGATCGCACCCACCTGCCTCCCTGTGATACAAATGCTCCCCCTTGCCCCATACCTGCCCTTGTTTGCAGATAAAACGAAACCCTAGCAAACACTGGCACCCCAAGGAAGGCTTTGGAGCTCACTCTGAACAGATGGGCATCAAGCGGCACCCAGGGCCTAACAGCAGGAGGCAGCAAACACCTGCCTGGCCAGTCTGGCCCTGTAAGGCTGCTCAGTCAGGGCACCCCTCTGCCATTCCTCGCCCCAGTCAGCCAGGCAGGACAAAGAGCCCAAGGCACGGCTTCCATACCGACCAGGACACTTGGCCTCAGGGAAATGCAATGTTACCTCCACCAGCACCCAGAACACCTGGTGCTCTAAGCCTGGCAAAGGGACAGGTGAGGACAGGAGGTCTCATCCTCTAAGAGCCTGTGAGCTCACAGCGACCTATTCTCCCTGGGCCGAGAGCAGCAGGCCCCAGCCTCCCCTCCACACTGCCCAGTGCTGCACGCACACAAAGGACTGCAGGCCAGGATGCAGGCTGAGAGCTGCAGAGCTGTGTGGGCCGCCCAGAAAGCCCCCTGCAGAAAGAGCAGGTGGACAATGTCCTCCCTCCCCCAAGCCTCCCTTCCCCCTCCCCTGGCCCTCCCAGCTTCCCCTCCCCAGCCTACCGGAGTGCCAGGGGCCCAGAAACCATGTGAGCAGCAGCCAGTGGGGGTGGCCTCCTTGAGCACGTGGCCTCCCTTGGGGGTGCATCAATGCCTGGTCACCTGGGGAGGAGAAGATGGACATGGTCACCCAGACAGCCATCATTTAGGAAGGGAGGAACAGTAAAAAAGGTGGCCGGTCGCCCTGGAGCCCTTGCTCCCAGAAGGTCTGGGGGGGGTCTGTCTGACTGGGACACCAGGGGCAGCCAGCCAGGCAGGAGATAGTGGCCATAGTGCTCCTCCATCAGGCCAAGTGGCAGGGAAAGTGGCAAGTCTAGAAAGCTTGGAGGTGCTGCACCCTTCTCCCACCCAGAAGAGTTAGGGTACTCCAAGGACCACCTAGGCCTGGGGAGCTGGGGGCAGGCACACAATTCCTGGCGGGTGTGGTGGTAGGAGGCCTGGACAAGGTCCTTCCTAGACTGGCCACATTTACATAACAAAAGGTAAAAATTGGAGGCACTAGTGCAATAGGCTATTTATAAGAACCAGTCTCAACCGCTTCTGGCTCTCCAGTCTCCTTCCCTTCCAGATCTGCTCTCACCCCCTCCCTGCCCAGAGGGCCCAGCCCCCTCCTGCCCAGCCCAGCCTGACCACATGGCCTCTCCTCATAGGAGTTTTTGCAAGCTCGCCTTTCAATACCAGCCTGCCAAAGCAGCTGGCAGCTGCCACCAGATGCAGGTGGGCTCCCTCAGCCCCTCCCCACCCCCACCCCTGGCTTCAGGTCCCACGGGAGGGGGTCCTGAGGTTCTGGCTCCTTGAACCCCACAAGGCAGGCCTTGGGTCCCTTGGAATGAAGCCAGGGTGGGGGAGGAGGCCTGCAGCAGCCTGGAGCCCATCCCTGACTGCCCTTCCCCCACCCCCAGGGCCAGGGAGGCTCAGCAGGTCCCTCAGGAATGTGACCAGACCCGGGGTGCGGGGTGGCTGGGAGGCCTCAGCTCCAGCCTGCCAGCTGTCTCTCGGGCCCCTAGCACAGCTCCGCTCTCATAGGGGTAGCCCAGGCAGGAGAGGGACACAGTTGGTTCGGGGTCCCATCAATGGCCCAGAGGACAGCAGAACCAGCTCTGTAGGTCCAACAGCCTAAGAGTGTCCACATTTAATGAGGCCCCTCACCTGTGTGAAGAGTCCAAGCTCTCCTACCAGGTGAGGCCAGAGACAGCCAGTAGGACAGAGCCGGTCCCAGTCTTGGGAAGGAGAGCAAAGACTATTGCAACACTGGTGACCAGACAGTACGAACAGACAGGAAGCCATAGCTGACCAGATGCCTGCCATACAGCCCTGTGCCACCCTGCCTACTCCTCTCTGGGCCTCAGGACAACCCAAGCCCTGCATGGGCAGAGCATCTGCCCAGTGGCCTCTGCATCAGCACGTGCCAGACCCTGTAACTAGGGGTTACTTGCCCTTGTCAGAGATCAGGCCAGCAACTATTAGACACGTGGCAGAACAAGACTGGGGCCCTCCTGTTCAGCCCTGAAAAGCATTTCACTAGCCTGTGGCCAGCCAAGTGACTGACAAAGGTCTCCCAGGCTGGGTCAGACCTGACTCCTCTAGAGCCTGACCGCTTCACAGGGACACTCAGCAGGACAAGGCAGAGCGGGCCTCACTGCACCCTTCATCGGGTGGGGCCTCAGCAAAGCTGCCTGCTGGGAGTTCATACCCAGCTTAATGCTGCCTTGCCTGCCACCTATCTACCCCAGGCTGGGCTGAGTATGGGTCACTACTGTGTAAGCAACAAGGCAACCTCACCACAGGTGAGGTGGTGCCCCCTGATGCAGGGCCAGAACCCCTATGAAGCACTGCTCTCCTTTTCCCAGTGAAATAGACAGCCAGAGACCTCTGCCCCCTCACTCACTATCCGGTGTGGGAACAGTAAGCACCTACCATAGAGAGGCCACAGTCTGGGTTGGGTGGGGGTGGGGGGTGGGAAGGTGGGCAGCAGGTAAGTACAAACATGGCTACAGGGGCTGGTTCAGAAAGCTGGCAGAACAATGCCCCACTGCATACAGGGACTGGTACCCAGCCCTGGCAGGAGCCCACCGCAGGCTGGAATGAGGACACTGCCTGGCACCCAGCAGGCCCCTGGCAGCAGGCCCAGGCAGTGTGCCTATCAGCCCCAATGATCCACGCCCAGCTCAGGCCCGCTGCCTGCCTGGAGTGTTGGCTCCAGGAAACCCATGATCTGGGGCAGTGGGACAGTCAGGTTCTTCTCTAAGATTGAGACTTGGCCCTTCCCTTCAGGTAGGTGGGAGGGTGTCCCCAGCTTGGCTGAGCCTGGCAGGTAAGGGAAGGAATGCAAGTTGCTGGGAGAGGACCAGCTCTGCCCATTTGTGAACACAAAGGGTGTGGGGGAATGAACAGAGACCTGGCTGAAGACTTGGATCACCTTCTCGGGTCCTGTTTACAGAATGGTCAACACCCACCTACCCAACAGGGCGGTTACACCAAGAACCAGGATAGGTCCTTGCTGAGTTCTCATTTCCTTTTCTTCCCCTCCAGGCCCCTGCCACAGAAAAGCCAGAAAGCCCACTGCCCCGCCCTAACACACCACACACACACACACACACACCGGCAGGCCCAGGACAGAGACAGACAGACAGACCAGCACGC